ATGATGTGTTAGACCGGTCCAGCCAGCCCAATCCAGCGGGCCGGCTCTCTTTTACCGAAGGAGAAGGCGGGCGGAATAGGGGGGGAGTTCAGCGAAAGCAGCAGGGAGGGGCTCGGTGGGGTCCACTTGAAATTCAAATTGTTTCTTGGAGCCAAAAGGAGGGGAAGAGAGGGTAATTAGGTTCTTTTATTTCTATTTTGAATTGTATGCATTAAGTAGGGAGTAAAGGGGAGGATTAGGGTTATGTGATTTTTGCTTTTGAAGTTTCTTGTTCTTCTTTGTTGGTCCGGGCTCTAGATCAAATTCTAGAGATTGGGAGAGTGCGATCCTCCTCTCGAATAGAGGATCCTTGTATCTTTGCTATTTTTCTTGCATCTACTAGTAAAATACAATTCTTTTCTCCTATTTTCTCTCAGTTTTCCCTATTTTTCCCACTGTTTTGGCTGTTTTTCTGCTGTGGACAGCAGTTTGCTCAGAGAGTTATTGTGAAAGTGAATAGGAAATACTTGAAATCAAGTATTTCCTATCATGATGTTAATGGGTCGTTCTTTATGTGTGGAAATTTTGGAGTGGACGCTTTTGGTACATATGTTAAAGAATTTTATAAATCCCAACCCCATTGCCCTTGGGCAGGGCTTCATTTGGCAATAAATAATGCTTTTTGAGATTTTCGTTGTTTGGTTGGATGACCATGCTGGGCAGGCTCAAAACTGTTGATGTCCTTCAAAAGCGGAATATTATGATTGACATAACTTGTTCGTTGGGTCATTCTTACATAGAAAGTACTGGGCATTTATTTTTTGAGTGCAATTACTCATTCTTTATCATAACAATTTTTATTTTGCATTCTAATGCTTTTATGTTAAGACCTTCTCTGATGCAGTTTCTATTTGGATAAATAACCAGTCTAATACCTCTACTGATGTTAAAAGCTATTACTATCTCATTGACTGTTGCACTGTTTACTATGTTTGGAAAGAAATAAATGAGAAGTGTTTTGGAAATTCAGTTAATAGTCACACCACCACTTGCCTCACTATCAAAATGGTGATCTTCTCTAAAATTTGCAAGTGGAAATCTGGCCATTAGCTTATGTATCTCTTATAGTGGCATCTTTTCCCTATAGTCCCCCACCCTCCTTTTTGCGAAGTTTTTGGAAGCGAAGGATATTGGCCCTCGGATGGAAATTTTGGTTCCTTCTCATTTGTTTTGGAGCTGCTTGTGTTGTTTTTTGGCCCTCACTAAAATGATGATGTGCTTCCCTTTGGACAGTCTACGGGAAGCCAAGGGATTCCTTTCGGGTTTACATGCTAATCATTTATCATACTAAGTCCTTCTTGTGAGGGCTTTTTGCTCCTTTGTGATATTGTGTCATGTCTTCTATTTTTTTGCCTATATTTTTTTTACGGGGTACTATTTTTTGGTCTTTATTGAGCCTGTTCCTTTTTGTCAGAGCAGTTTTCTTTCTTTTTCACACTTGTAACTCTTCTACTTAGTAATATACGGGCTTAGCCCAAACTTTTCCCAAAAAAAAAGCTTTCTTGGATTTCTTTTGATTGGAGATACAAGTTTAATGATTGGAAGGTAATGAATAGTAAGATTTTATAATGGATTTCTTGTGGTTCCCAAACAATAATTTGAACTTTTTGGTCATTGCTTCTTATTGGTTAAAGATTAATGAACCAGTTACTAGATGACTTAAAGTTTTTGAATCTCAAATTTGAAAGTTGGAGTTTATAAGGATTGAAACATATGGTGCTTCAATTGATTTAATGGCAATCTTTATTTATTTAGATTTATTTAATCTCCTAGGCTCATATGATTTTTGGTCTGATGAGATTTATGGATCTAAATGAGACCAATTTAAGTGAGCTCAAGTATTATGTTGCTCAACCGATTAAGCAAATGGGTCAAAAATAGAGTGTAAGCAACTTGAAGAAGCATTAAAGCATAATTAGGAAGGTAAATGTTTGTGAGAATATGCATATTGATATTGTATTGACACGAGCTTGATATGACAACTAAACATAAAGATATGACATCAACTTTTATGCCATTAGTTTATATGATAAATATATGTTGTATTTCTTTTATAATATTGAATATTTTATTTTCTCATTTTGTTGGAATATTTTTATCCTCATAATGAGGGCTTAAGTTGCCTTCGAATGTATTACCTTAAGTATAATAGTAATGAAATGAAATCCTGATGATGCTCCTCTCCTAATCTTTTCTCTCTCCCTCAACTAGCCACTTACCCCCTTTCCCTCTCCTTCTTCTTACCTCCTCCCTTCTTCCCCTCTATTCCTCTTCCCCTCCTAAACTTGATCTCCTTTTATTTTGCTTTATATTTCCCATCGTCTACTTCAAGCCCCAAGTATAGGTAAGGTCTCCTCTCCATGTGTCCCCCATAGTGATGGAACTAGGGGTGGTTGAATGTGACCTTCCTATTAAAATTTCGCTCATAAATTCACTTTGTTATATAAATTATTAAAATTTAGTGCACTCCCAACCCCTTATTATAAATCCTAATGCAGCCAATTTCCAAAATCAATTTCCCCCACTAGGAACATCAGCCACCACCACTCCATTTTAAATCCCATAGATACCACCAGCTTTCAATCCGACCACCACACCATCCAACTTAACCCTCCTTTCCATCTCCCAGTCATAGCCGCCACCATCTCCAAACCAAACGGTGCTCATCATCACCCATTAATAGAGCAAGTAAAATCAAGACGTCTGATTCCACCGCCCGTAGGGCTTCTACTACGTTAAGTTATAGTATAATTACTTCTGCTAAATGTGGTGAGTTTTATACTCAAAATGGCTCAGAACTCATTTTCTACCCTTTATTTGTTGTTGGCTACACTTGGATGAAGATGCATGTCAAGCATGCAACTTGGTTCCCCTTGATTGTCGGAATCTATTTCTTGTGAGATATAGTTCTGCTTTGTTTCTTATTTGTTTGCTGTAGCAAGTTTGCTTGCATCGTTTGTCATCTCTATTGCATAGATTTGCTTCATGTGATAACTTCTCTTTGTTGCTTTTATGATGCCTTTCAGGCTGCAGGTTTGGCTACACATTAGTAATCATTTATGTTCTTAGAAAGCTTAGAGGGGTTGTTCAAAGATTTGAGAGTATAATAGTAGTGTTACTATACTAATAGCAGTGATGTTATAGGCAATTAACTTCCACTTGGGCTACTTGTAGTTGTTACCTTTGATATAGCTTCATTTAGGCGCTCATTGATTGTGCGCTTAATTCATGCTTATAAGAGTTTATTAGACTAATTTTTCTTCTCTTACGATATATGCGGGTTGTAAAGGTGTCTGTTTTGCTTGTTTTCAATTTCATGTTCAATGTATTTGTTTATGGCAATGTGTTTTAAATGTTCATTGTTTTTTTTTTTTTTTTTTTTGAAAATGTGAGTTTGGCTTAATTCATAAGAAGCAGAAGTTTGATTACAAATGTATGAGCAAATAAAATAAAATAAAATAAAAAAAGCCACGGCTACAGACACAAACTTAATTAACATTGCACCCAACACTAAAGCTTCATTTGGGACAGCTTTCGTATTGCTTTTTAAAGTGGTTTTCTAGTACAAAAGTTTTGTACTAAAAAGATGTTTTATAAAGCAAGAATAAAACTGTCCCAAACAAAGTCTAACTTAAGGCTTCATTTGAGGCAGCTTTTAGCCGTTATTTTTTTGGCTGATTTCAAAAAAAAAATTATATTAAAAAGTCGTTATAGAAAATAATAAAAAAATTATCTTAAACGAAACCTTAAAAACAAAAACAAAAGCAAAATCTATCACTTGCTAACTCAAGAATGTAGAGTTCCTTATTATACAACAGACAATTACACCTTCATTATACACATTGAATAAAATTGTCTAATCTGAGAAATAAAAAGAAGGGAAAAAACTTAATTGGATATCAAATATCAAAATTTTCATATTTGTCTAATGAGAAATGCAAAGCTAAAACAACAAAAAGAAATAAAAATTCCCCCTAGAGATTATATTTCATTTCCTGATTATCTTTCACAAAAGAGAGATGAATTGATAAATTCATTGGATCAGGATTGATAGTGCCGGAACCGGTTGCGTCCGCCTTGACAGGTTGGTGCTCTAACCGATTGAACTTCAACCATATGCCTTGCATACATAATCATAAAAGAGCATTCTATTTGTCGTGTCACAATACAAATACGAGTTATATAAAATATCATATTTACATAGATATTAATTTGAGTGAGAGTGATATAGATTACTAGTAATCTATGATTCTTTTCTTGTGTTTACTATATTACAAATAATTAAAAAAAAAAAGGAATGGATGTGAAAAAATAGATTTTTATTTTATTTTATACGGATCCTGTATTTCTATTTCCAGATGACAGATTTTTTAAATCTTCTTGATGGAGCGACCAATTCTTGGTCGAGCTGAATTTATCAAGACATCAAATAAGTTCTAACAACTATGAAATTTTGACTGGCTTCTGTCCAAAAACAATGTTAGGTAATTTATCTCCACACACTAAAACGGGCCTCATTCACTTCGAGGGATAATAAAAAATAAGTTTTCTAACCAATTTTCAATGCAATATTAGGTTTAGTTTGAAAAGGCTTTTTTATTGTTTTTAAAAACAGCTTTATACAAAAATAATTAAAATATTATTTTAAGAAATAATAAAAAAATCATCCTAAAAACAAAATCTTAGGCTTTGTTTGGGAAGGCTTTCTTACTGTTTTTTAAACGACTTTTTAATAAAAAAATTATTTTTTTACTAACAAATTACTTTACAGTAAAAAAACAGTCTCAAATAAAACCTTAATCATTTATCAATATCGCTATGCAAGAAGTGCAAAATTGGGTATCCAAAGTTCAGTTAGTATCGACCAATAATGAAATTTCGTAGAGAAAACATCAAGCTCTTACATAAGAAAAAAAAACCCAAAAGATAAAACTGAGTTCGACCAATATTTCATGAGCAGGTATTAGAAGTTGTCAACATCATGCAGTATACTTGGATTGATTTCTGGAGTCCATAAGAAAAATTTTAACTATTAACAGAATGCCTCAACTATAACATAAGCTTCTGAACTTCTTTTGATATTTTTATACATAGTATCCTGAACATCACGCTTCAGAAAAATTTTCAGCATATAAGCGATTCATAAAGAACTTGGGGAAATCAGGCAACATACAGTTCTGCTTTACCATCAATGAACAAGCTCATGAACTCCTCTCCATCCACGGATTCCTTCTCAATGAGTAGTTGTGCAAGTTTATGAAGAATGTCAATATGGGTGGTGATAATTTGCTTTGCCCTTGAATAAGATTTTTCTACCAGCTCCCTCACTTCTGAGTCCACAATATCCGCTGTTGCCATGGAATAGTCCTTCTGGGTTGACATCTGTTGATCCGAAGTGCCCGGGAGATAAAATTAGAGATCAAAATGAAAGCACCATCTTAAGATACAACTTTTGTTTCCTACCAAATGCACGTGAGACTATGATTTTATTTGGGACGACTTCTTTGCTGCTTCTTAAAACAGCTTTTTAGTACAAAAAAATTAATCTTTATATTAAAAAGCTGCTTTAAGAAGCAGCAAAAAAGCCGTCCCAAACAAAGCCTATGCCTTAACATCATCCTTACGATTTTACAATCTAAGTGCCGCACTAACTCATCATTAAATCATCATCATCAGCACAACCATTTGGGGTTGGCTTTATAATTCCTTTTCTCCATTAATTTCACTTAAATGTGCAATGTGAGGTTATACCAATTTTGAAACAAAATTGTTTGCAAAACTTCCATTCATGTTACATTAGTCCTATTTTTTCTTCATAATCCATCAATATTAATTTATTCTACCCATCTTATTAGTCATCTTATAGACTTCATTGTATATGCCCAAACAATTAAGCATATTATGGCATTAAGTCTTCGTTTGGAATGGCTATTTTATTATTTTAATACAAAAATTAAAATTTTTATACTAAAACTCAAAAATAAAAAAGTCATCCCAAACGAAGCCTAAATCCTCCATCATCATCATATTCCTTACCCCAATCACGCGAGTTTGGGTTGTTAAATCATTCATTTTCATCCATTGTCCTCTATATGTCAATTTAATATAAATCCTAATAAGCTAAAGCATTTAGAAGAAATTGAAGAATAGTTACATGCTTTTACACAGTTCGTAAGCAGTTTGGTTTTGGCCTACCAATTATGTTAAACCTTAAGCACAGCTTACGTTTTTAAGTCTAATTTATGAATCACCGTTACCTGCTGACCAAGGAATGGATTACCACCAGGTCCGCCGATCGCAACTTGTCCAATCTTTTTGCTGAATCCAAATCTCTCCACCATCTGCCTTGCCACTCGGGAAACCTGCATGAAATCATTTGATGCTCCAGTGGTAACATTATCTGCCCCAAAGATCACTTCCTCAGCTACCCTGCAAGAACAGGCATGCCAGCTATGAATGCCAGAGCCAGTAGCATGATAAAGAAAATGATTATCAAATCATTATAGGAGCATACCTTCCACCAAGGGCAACAGCCATCTGGTTTTCCAGGTAGCTCCTGCTGTAAAGTCCAGACTCAAGCCTCTCTTCACTTGGCGCGAAGAAAGTAAGCCCACCAGCTTGACCTCTAGGAATAATGGAGATCTTAGCGACAGGATCATACTCTGGCATAAGTGCACCAACAAGTGCATGTCCAGCCTCTGTAAATAAAAAGGGTTTGAATAGCTACTTAGTTTACTGGTAAATTACTATCAGAAAACGTTTTCAAGAAGAAAAGCAAGGCACTGTACCATGATATGCAACCAGTTTCTTCTTTTCTTCTGAAACAACAGCATTCTTCTTCTCGGGTCCAGCAATTATTCTTTCCAGTGCATCAGATATCTCATCTTTGCTAATTTCTTTGAGATCACGCCTGGCTGCAAGGATAGCAGCTTCATTCATCAGGTTCTGCAAGTCTGCTCCTGTGAAACCAGGTGTTCTTCTAGCAATTTTCTCGAAGTCAACATCTTTAGCGAGTGCTTTTCCTCTTGAGTGCACCTGCAAAATTAGTCAACTCAGTATCATTTGATAGCTAATGCAACATAGACAATTAAGAAGCTTCTTTTCTTAATCTTCACCACAAAATGCAAATAAGACAATACTACATTATAATGTTGAATTAATGAAAAAAATCATCATGGATTGAAACAATAATTTAATATTCATTCTTTTTAAATAAATTTTAATTTGAGCCCATGAATATTGTGTATCTTGGCCCTAAGACCATCTCCAACCGAACGCCAAACATGCGTATGGCATCGTTTGGTCGCTCCATCCGAACATCAAATCTTTCGCTATTTACTTGCGGGTGAACAATGCCACGCCACGATTTTTCTGTCTCAACCAGATTTGTCGTAGAAATGCGCTAAAGAGGAGAAAGACAGTTACCTTCGCAGAAGCCCGCAAAATGGAGTTCGATTGGAGATGAATTAGGAGATTTGTTAGTTTCACTGTATTTTGGAGTGAAAATTGGGATTTTCAGTTAGAGATGTCCTAACATCACTCTGGGACTTTGTTTCATTATTCATGCTTGCAAACATGACACTTGTAATATTTTAAAGGTAATGCACGTTGCATTTGAATTAACCCATAATTTTTATTGGTCGACCTAATTTGGTGCGTTGATAGACAATTCCATCTAAGGAAGTAAATTAGAATACGTTCATGTATATGAAAATGGCACTTTCACTTATGATTAACATCATCAATGCATTAATAACCAGATTATGGATAAAAAAGCACTGAACTGTGCATAATTAACCAAATAGCCTACGTTGATGTATAGGTAATCTGCAAATTCATCAAAAACACATTACATTTTAGCTAACTGATGGTATTATAAAAATTCCTACACAGTTTGGAAGTATAAAAATAAGCCTAGAGTCTCTTATCAAAACAATTCATCATGGAAGTAACTGTTCATGAGCAACTCAAAAGTAATGCTCCATGAAACTAGCTCTCCTAGGTTAGGTTTTAACAAGTAAAATACCCCAAATAAGAGCAGATGCTGAAATTTACGCACTAGTTGCAACAGTCTAAAATAACTTGAATACAAACAAATAATGAACTATTAGAGTCTCAATAAATCAATAACCTCAATTCAAACTACTAACCTGCAAGATCTTTACTCTACCAGCAACATCGGGTCTATCAACGGTAACCTGCCTATCAAATCTTCCTGGCCTCAACAAAGCAGCATCAAGAACATCAGGCCTGTTAGTAGCAGCAAGAACAATCACCCCACTGTTCCCCGAAAACCCATCCATCTCAGTCAAGAGCTGATTAATAGTCTGCTCTCTCTCGTCATTCCCACCACCAAGCCCAGCCCCTCTCTGCCTTCCAACTGCATCAATCTCATCAATAAAAACAATACAAGGAGCTTTCGCCTTTGCCTTCTCAAACAAATCCCTCACCCTCGAAGCTCCAACTCCAACAAAAAGTTCCACAAACTCTGAAGCAGCACACGAAAAGAACGGCACACCGGCCTCGCCGGCAACCGCTCTGGCTAGCAGTGTCTTCCCGGTTCCCGGTGGCCCGACCAAAAGGCAACCTTTGGGAATCTTAGCACCAAGAGCTGTGTACTTATCAGGATTCTTCAAAAAGTCGACGACTTCCTGAAGCTCAAGCTTGGCTTGGTCGGCGCCTGCAACGTCCCCGAAGGTAACTCCGGTTTCAGGAACCTCTTGGAACTTTGACTTGGACCTGCCGAAGTCCATAGGCCCACCGAGCCCGCCAGGGCCGCCGCCAGGCCCGCCTTGTGCGCGGCGGAAGAGGAGGAAGAGACCAGCGAAGGCAAGGAAGGGGAATAGCAGGTTACCGATGATATTGAAGAGACCGTTGCCTCCCTCTCCTTCCGAGACGGAGATGTCGACGCCATTCATGGCGAGGATGTCGATTAGGTCAGGGTCGTTGGGGACGATGACGGTGGCGCGGCGACCGTCGACTGCCGTGAGCTGGAGAACGCCTCCGTCTTTGCTGAAGCGGACGCGCTCAACCTTTCCCTTCTTAACGGCGCTGAGGAATTCGCTGTAGCGCCATTGGGACGATTCTGGGAGATCGGTGGACTGTGGTTTTGGAGCAGTGAGGAGGGATTGAGAGAAGGGGTTTGGTGTAGAGGGGGCAGGGTTTGCGGTGGATTCGATCTGGATAGGAGCAGATGAGGAAGGGGGGAGAGCGGTAAGCGGGGAGAAGTCGTTGGCGGCGAGGGCTACTGGAGCGAGGGCGGACAGGAGGATGGTGGCGGCGGCGGTGCATGGTTTTAACGATAAACGGAGGGGCTTCAGAGGGGTAGGGAGATGGGCTCGAAAGGAGGGGTTTGGACGACGGGGGAGGAGGGAGAGAGGGAGAGGGAGGGAGGGGAATCTAGGATGGATTGAGGCGCCATGGAAGGAAGAAGTGGATGAGGTGAGAAGGAGGTGGGATGTGGAAGCCATGGCTGCTTTCGGCGGAGTTCAGTTTAGGGCCGAGTTCAGCCAAGAACAAATAGTTTAGCTGAGTGAGAGAAAATGAGATGGTAGAGGCGTGGAGCAAGGAGGTTATGGCGAGGACTGAAGCAACGTGGTGAACTGTAACACCATTATTAATGATATTATAGAAAAATCAGATTGTTTTGAAAGATAGATAACATAACAAAAAGAAAGAAGCTTCAAATTGAGCAGCAAGAGAGCTAAGCTCCAAATCAAAGGCCATTAGTTAGATGTGTATAGCGGACGATTTGGATAAATTATTTGATCAAACAAATATTTTCACATAATTTTTATATTTCAAAACAGATATGTATTAGTATGAGTGGAATCAGAAAATTTTTTATGTGAGTACAAATTAATAATTTTAAAATTATCATTAATGTTTTTTATTTGAACATGAGATTGTCACTGAACAACTCTAGAATTTTTGAATTTTTTGACAAATTCTAAGAGAACCTCCTAATAATATTTTTATTTTTATTGCAACAACAACATTATGGGTCATAAAGCATAGGAGGTCTCACCATCATCATATATTATTTTTCTTTAAGTTTGAGTGCTATTTTTCTATCACACAATAGGTCTGATGCATTCCTCCGCTTCAATCATTTAATTTGAATTTTAATAATAATATCCGTATCTAGTTCACCATTGTTTGAACAATAGATCCAATATATCTAAAATGTGTACTTTTTTATGATTTGATCACCCACAATCAAATCCCATCACTAAATTTATTACTATTAAATTAGGCTTCATGTATTCAATTTTAGATCTATCTAAACAAAAACATTTAAACTTTATTATTGAACTCCATAATTTAAGTTTTTCTTCAACTCCCTATTAGTCTTATCAATAAGAAGAGTATCATAAGCAAAAAATCTATACCATGGTACATCCTCTTTTGAATGTCTAGTATTTTTTTTTTAATTTTATATGTGTCTCTCTTAATCAATGTTTTAAGAACCGGACCGGACCGGCCGGTTCAACCGGTTGAACCAGCACCCGGCCGGCCGGCCGGTTCAATTAGCTGAAGAAACCGGGCAAGCAAAGAATCGGTATCGAACCGGTCCGACCGGCGGTCGAACCGCAAAACCGGCGAACCGGGAACCGTGTATGAACCGGCCACTTAAGCCCTAATGCGATTTCCACCGTTTGATGTTAATCATGCGGTATTTAAGTTTGGGTAAAACACATAAACATGTAAAAACGAAACCTAAATTTTATTTTCACCTCCCGTAACTCCCGAAGCCGTCCGCTCCCCTGTCCGATTCACTTCCTTCGTCGCTGCACTGGGCGCTGCAGCTCGACTTCGTCTGTTCGTCGCTGCTCGCTGCTCGTTGCAGATACTCCTTCGCCGTTCGTCGCTGCAGCTCCGCCGTTCGTCGCTGCAGCTCCGCCGTTCGTCCAGCGCTGCAGCTCCGCCGTCTGTGCTTGGATCCTTCGCCGTCCAGTTCTTAATCGTTGATGCTTGAATCATTGTAAGATGTTAATTTTATTTTGAAGAAATGTTATTATCATGATGAATAAAATGTTGCCTGTCCGATTTTCTTCCTTCGTCGCTGCACTGGGCGCTGCAGCTCGACTTCGTAGATACTTCTTCGCCGTTCGTCGCTGCAGCAAAACACTAAACATTTCATCTTATTAAAAATCGCATTTATTTTCATCCACTCCATTATATGTTATTTGTTTTGGTTCTTCTAAATTCTAATGACAAATAGCTACTCAAAATTTTACATATTTCATACTAAATTCTTGAATATTACTATTGTATCACCCAAAATTTCTTCTAATGATTCGATTAATCTTAGCTATATCACATTTATAGAGTGCTCCTTCACTTCTTCTAATGTTTCCGATATTGATGCTAAATAGTTTTCAGTTGTCACTGTTAATGCTGCGTTTGCTTGTTTAATACTACATGCCTCCTTAGATGCCAGCACACTGTTTCCGATATTGCTTCATTTGCATTTGCTACATGCCCTTTTTTGGCCACAGAGATAATATATGTTCAAAATATATATATTTTGGGAATCTTTAGTGTTTTAAACTTTTAATGATGTTGGCAATTTGGTTGAAATTGTGAGATATAACTCGCAAATCAATAATATTCTTGAATCGGATGTGGAATGAGATATTTATCTTGTTTCTAGTGTTATGCTTATAAAAATATTTTATATTATCACCATCACTTCCCTCTTTATTTTGACTCAAGAGATCATAAGTTTGGTAATGTTGTTTGGATAACCTAAGAAAATTATACAATAAAGAAAAACTGGAATAAGGATGTGTGATGGTTTCAAATGAACATCTTAATGATTGAATTGTGAGTAGGCATATTTTATCTGTGGAAAAATCCTCGATTGTTTCAAATAGCAATTCTAATATTTAGTGGATGATTATTAAATTCACTATGAGTTATGAGTGTTTTGAGTTTTGAGTTTTTTATATGTAAACTGATATAAACTGATTACTTTTTTGTCTCTATGGTATTAAGTTAAAACTTTTTATATTTATGAATTTTGAGTTTGTCTTATCAATAAAGTGTTATAATTTTGCTAAAAGTTATGAAGAGGTATGTTATATGTTGCCAATTTAATATTTTTTAATGTCTATTTTGTTATATATTTTACTTCGTTTTCTTTTACTCATTTCATTTTGTAACAATTTCACATGATAGAGAAGGAGAATTGAAGATGGTTGCATTCATCAACTTCCAACACACAAAGAGCTCAACAAAAGGTATGTTATTTACTTATTTGCTTATGTTTTATAAACTTCATTGATGCCATATTTATATTATTTGATTAGTTTGATATGAAAATGAAATGCATAGTGAATGTATTAGAGGAAATTTTTTCATTTATTTTATAATTTTAATAATATTATTATTTATTACGTCATCCGGTTCGACCCCGGTTCGACCGGTCGAACCGGTCAAACCATGAACCTCTCCTTCTTCCGGTCGGTTGTCCGGTCCGATTTTCAAAACGTTGCTCTTAATCTAATTTTCTCTAAAAAATATATATATTAAAGAACTTTTGTTTAAAAAAAAAGGAAAATTTTTGAAGAGGAGTCAATTTTGATTGAACTTTCAGAAAAGGGTTTTTTTTATATATATAAATTAAACAAGGAGCTAGTCGCCCTTCCTTTAAGTAACTTGCTCCCTTGCCTAACTCAACCAATGCTAGTGCTTTTTCTTATTTGAAAAATAATTTGTTTTTTAAAAATTTGAAATAACTAATGCTTTACAAAATTATTTTTAAATTAAAAAATTATTTTGAATAAATTAAAATATTTGAAATAACTATAATTTTAAAATTATTATTTTAACCTAATATTTTATAATTAATTAGTAAAAAAATTATTTATAAATAATGTTATCTATAATATAAGTTTAATTTAGATAAAATAAGAAACAATAGAGAACTGTTGCGGCCTAGAATATATATGGCTCTAGGGTGAGGAGATTTTTCTTCTTAGCCTTGCATGAATTTCAAGCACACAATCATAAAAGTTAAGACACTAGAATTTTTACGTGGAAAACCCTAGAAAGGAGACAAATCACAAGGTTACATCCAGTTGAAATGATTCCACAATTATTTGAACTAGTTACAAAGGTTGACTCATCTCTAGATTTAAGGAAGCTCAAATTACAATGGTTTAGAAAGTGGGTTGGACTTTGTGTGACGGCGGTTGAGCATAAATTAATATGATTGTTGTCAAGCCGAAGTCTAGTGACGATCGGTGATCGAGTAGAAATCTAGCAACCCGTTGGTGATCGGATAGAAGTCCGCTGACAGATGGTGGTTAGGCAAAAGTCTGACAACAATGATGATTGGATGAAAGTTTGACTATGGTTAGTGGTCGGGCGGAAGTTTGGTGACGGTCATCGGCTGGGAGAAAATCTGACGAGGGTTAGTGGCCGAGCGGAAGTACGACAATGATTGGTGGCCGAGCGTAAGTCCTATGATGGCCTGTGGCCTGGCGAAAGTCCGACTATGATCAGTGGTCGAGCGGCAGTCAAGCAGGAGCTTGGTGGCAAGAGAACTCTCGCTCTTCTCTTCCTTATCTTCCTCTTTCCCTTTTCTCCACAAAAGAATGAGGGGTTTATTTCTAATTTTTCATGAGTGGCATGGCTAGTAAATATGAGAAGGATCAAGGTCATGTTGAGAGTATTCTAATGGATGGACGATATCAACTCCCTTAATTATGAATCGTTTATCGAGCATTTAAGTACCTTAATAATGTCAGATTTCAAAAAATATTGGGCTCGTTGGATTTTTATCATCGAGTCGCTTGATTTGAGTATAAGCATGTCATAATTGAAGATCTTTTCGTCATCTAATTAATATTATGAACCTTTCAAGTAGGCTTTGATTTTGTAATTTGGGTTCATTCAGGCTCGGATTGGACCAAATTTGGTGTCGTTGGGTTTGTTTCCTTCAGATGTTCAATTCAACTATAAATTTGTTGAAATTGAAGTTTGGATGGCTCAGAATTTAATTTCAAAAGTAGAATTTTCTTCGAGATTTGTGCCCTTTAAGGAAAATTTTTTGATGATATATCAAGAATGGATGTTACCATAAATAAAAATAAATTTATCATATTTTTTAATTTTATTTTTATGCAAAATTACAAAAGTAGTGTGGTAGATAAAAATATTTTTTAATCTTAAGTAAGATATCCTTAATTTTTTAAAATTTTAAGAAAAAAATTAATTATTTCATTATATAGGTTAATTCAAATAAAATTAAATTTTAATACTCTTTTAGATTTAATTCTTTTAAATTATGCTAAGATGACATAAGAAACTTTGTTAAAAAATAAGGTAGAGTTAATAGTCTGGTTACAAAAGCATAATTTTGAATAGAGTTTTTTTTTTTTAAAGAATTACACGCATCATCTATCTCAAGTCCTTATTAATGAATATTGATGAGTTACTATCTTCATCTATATTGTTACGAGAATACATGTGTTCTTTGTGTGCATTGATCTGGCCCCTTTCTCTGTAATTCCAGGAGGCCATGATGAACATCTTCTTCTTCTTTTTTGTTTTGATCTTCTTTTCATGATACCTT